ACTGTTTCCGAACTCGCCGAAAACGAACAACAATCATAAAGCTACATGCATATCTAGACCGTCAGATGTTGCAATCAACTATATAGACCGGGTTTGATAGTATGAATGGCTAGAGCCTCGGCAAATTTCAGTAACCTTGTGTTGTTGTATCGTAGACAACTTGGAATGCGTGGATTGGAGTGACACAATCAATTGCCCTAATAACAAGGCCACAAATGTCACGGGACGATATCAGGAAAGGGCTATCGATCGGANNNTACACGCAGAGCACTGTGCGTCTAAAGAATAAACAAACAAACAGGAATTCACCGTTTCCAGTAGTACCCGCCTCAGATTTGGAGGCTCATCATCAACCCGCTACTTGTAAGTAGTGAGTTGATCGCAACCGAAAAATGCTCACCGTAGAAGCCGCTGACCGAGTTACGTGCATTAAATACACGCACCTAATTATCCACATACGCTGACATAACAACTCTGCTTCCGATAGTGAGGAAGTGAAATGGGTAGTTACACCCCACAAAAAACCAAAAAACATCTGTCCACTTATGTTGCCACCGCGGCAGGCAAACATTTTGTCATGCCACCATTGTCCAAGGCCTCGAACCTCAATCAATTTTACCACAAACGAATAGCTACAGATTGTCCACATTTCAAACATATAAAAGATGTTTTTCCTCCTAAGAATATGAAGACGGGTGCAGCAGTATAGCAATTAGAATCAATTACACCTATTTGCATCTAGCGGTAGTCCAAACCCCGGAATCCTCAGCCACAACCCAGTGCTCCTGAGTATCGACCCGCGATTCCCAATACTTTATACTGGGCGCAAGATTAAGCCATTCCGCTGGAATCGAGACGGGTAAAAAAGTACTTCTTTCTCTCGCTATATACATATATATATATATATAATCCACTTACAAAAACATCAAATCATAGTATTGATTATTCAATAGGTTGGCTATGAAAGTGCCGTCCATCCGAAATTACCCGGTGTTGCAAATGAGCTTGCCAACAAGCTTGACGCAACCGCAAGTGATGATAATAGAAAGGGGATGAGTTTGAAAAGAACGACGTGGAAAATTAAGGCTAGGGAGAACTAGAAGACGAATATCAACGTTTTCTTTTGTTTCACTGTACACTTCATATGTTATTAGGCAGCTTATGCAGCATTAGCGCTACTGATTTCTATCGTCAGCCATCTCTTAGCATATCTGACCGATAAGAATCCTCACTCCCTGGGCTCAACCGGGAAGGTGGGCTGCGCTATTCAAAACTAACGATGAAGCAAACCTCAACGCAATGTTATGGTCTGATCAATGGCCCTTCCTCTAGCCTTATTCATCGCCTACAAAGGGAGCGTGGTGAGTTAGACGGGGGAAAGGCACAGGCAGAACATGTCCGAGCCATCGGAACCGGTTTAGAGTGATTTCTCTCCCATCGAACAACGATGAACCTCGTCATTTTTCAACCAATGTTCTCACCAGACAAGCTTAACAACGAAGAAATCGGTGGTGAAATACAGATATGCGATTAACATCCTCAAGCAGAGGTCAGGTCTCGCAAGACTAAATCAAAACACCACGAAAGGCTGCGATGTAAACCCTTCCACAAGGATAATCAGAGTTCATAGAGGTTCCAAAGGTGTCGCAAACTAGCAAAAGTTGCACTGTCTTTCGCTATTCGCGACGCGATCGTTTTTCTAGCCCCTCCTCCAGCTGTGACTAAGCTCCCGAAGTACCTAAAGCTATCGATTTCTTCCAATTGATCACCGCAAAGGGTGAGCACCGGCAGGTGCTCCCAGCAATCCTTTGCAAGCACTTTGAGTTTAGATGGTACAAAGTACAAAGGAGGAGCTTTCTTCTACGGGAGGATGAATCAGCTTGGAGTAGTCGATGAATGCTCTCTTTAAATGATGCAATGCCACCCTTTCTTATGTTATGCTTCCTCTGTGGGAAGTACGCGCTAAGATTTTCCGACTGCAGAAGCAGGCTAGTATCCGTCCACCGGAACTGAGTCGAAGAGAGTGAGAGGAGTTGCAATGATTTATTTGCAAAAGCATAGCTGATAGGCTATGAGAATTTCAATCCACGAGAATAGACTGACTAAGAAAGAACAGGACTAGCTGTGGACGCAGGGGCAGACGGAAAAGACAGTGGATGTGAAATTCGAGCATGATTATCAATCTCGAAAGGGTGGGATGAGGAAACAGAGAACCTAACCGGGAATCTGTGACTTGGATCTCGGCGGTTCTTGCAGTTCGATCCCGGCCTGGGCGATGCGGGCCTCCAACTCCGGTCGAAAGTGGCGTATGAGACCCTGCAGACGAGCAAAAAGAGACCGAGGGGGTCGTGGAGATGAATGGTACAGAGTGCAGAAACAGAATGAATGCAATGGTCAAAGTGGTTTATTCAATTAGGATTTATTTACGTTCATGATTGCATTCTACTTTGCACGGCATATGAGCTGCATCACAAATCCTATACACTTNAATCCCGAGTGAATTTGGCCTTTTTGCTTTGACCTAACGTGGTTTGAGCCCTAAGGTCCATTGTTCAAACCCTGTCGTGGTCACGCGACCTTTGCGGTAGGCAGCTTCGCAATCGTCCGGGTCAATGCAACTAATCTACCAGGACCTCAAGTTGTTCAGCATTATATTAACAAATTGAAAGTAATATCAGCTTCCAATTTCAACAGGTTAATAAATGTCCAATATGTGTACAGAAGGAGACAGTGAAACCTGAAGTTCCCCACTTAGATCCCAGTTCGTTTTTTTTATTTGGGGGGGGGTACACAAATAGATTATTACGATATTTCACACTTGTCTGAGGCCAGACTGTGTTAAATAAATCATGGTAAAGTATTCTTTATAAAAAAGAAAAACGTTCCATGATTGGATTGTGGGCTGAATACTGCCAGGTTGCCCAGGCCAAGGTAGGTACACAAGTAAATTGTCTCAACTCAAATCCCTGTTTGATACCAAAACTGCCAATTTTCTTCCAATCTGATAATCACAAGAATGAAAACCTCGATCAACTTCATTTTCCGACTGCACATGACCCAAAGGCAATCATTTTCCCCTAGATAATTATGGCAAATAACTAACGAAACCTCGTTTGCATACGGCTCACTAAAAGATGAAAAACGAGAAATGTATACGCCGCGATTAGTAAATTCACCCACCAATTGAGTAGTGTTCAGAGAGTAGGATTACCTGAAATCGATTGTTACATAAATGGATGATTAGCAAAGTGAAAAACCAGTTTTACGTCTCACATAACTGGGAATAAACTCATTTTTCAAGTCAGCAAGTTTGAAAATCAACTAAACCGAAAAACGGAAAACGCATACCTGAATCGGCCAGGCTGCACCATCAGCCAGGGCACAAATAGTGTGTCCTTCCATCTGTTTGGAAATCTCCCATAGCATATCGATTTCCGATTTGTGTGCCTTGCCCCTGACTGCAAAATTAGAAAGCGAAAGGTGACAGAAAGGGGAAATAATCGTTATACAGCGATCAATGTGATTATTATTTCTTGTCCACATCATAACAGACAATCCAAAATAGGATGAAAAATCATGCAATTACGAATGATAAACTAAAATAGAATTAGCATCACGTTTAAATAATCCAGCTGGTTATAGGGTGAAGTGTTCGAGAAATGTGGATATTTGCGTACCGAAACGCGCCATAATTTGTTGCATCCAACGACAACCTTCCCGACAAGGGGTGCATTGACCGCAGGTTTCGTGCTCGTAAAATTGACTCAAGCGATGAATACAACGAACTACGTCTGCCGAGCGATTCATCACGATCAGGGCGGCTGTGCCCAGACTGCTCTGGGCCTCGACCAATGAATCAAAGTCCATGAGAACAGTGGAGCATACACTGGAAACCAGAGTGTACAAAGGGTGAGCGAACAAAACAGATAAAATAGGGTCGAGTAAATTTAATTCAACTAGAATGGCTGAGTGAAACACGTAGACCTGAATGAGCACATTACTTACTCCTTGGGTATCAACGGAACCGAACTTCCACCGGGGATGACTGCAAGCAAATTGTCCCAGCCCCCAATAACACCACCGGCATGTCGCTCGATTAACTCGCGCATGGGAATTGACATTTCTTCCTCGACTGTGCACGGATTGTTTACGTGACCTGAGATAATAAAATGGATTGATAAGAGCTGGTAAGTCTGTCTGAATGACGTGCAACCACTGATACTCGAAACGGATACCTGAGCGTCTTATCTCTGAAAACAAACAAGTTCCAGTCTCATTCGAAAATGATTTCGGAGGTTATTTGTCGAATAGATAATCGTCCATAGAATACAGATGTTGTCTTTAAACGGAAAACGTGTTTACTTTTAAACTTAGCGTTAATTTCTTCTCCCAACGTCACTGGGATTCACTCCGTTTGCTGTTCATCTGACAAAGAAGTGTGTATTAGAAAACTTCGGCAGTAATCACCTGATTACAGGAGAAATAATTATGCCGTATAGAAGACAAAAATGCATGGGCGACATCTGACCGCTGAGATGTCGAGATAAGTCGATTTTATTTCAAGCTTCAGCACTATCTTGTTCATTTGAGATATACTATTCACTTATTACAAAGGCGATTTAAAGCCAATCCTGATGATGCTTCTACAGTTACCACACCCGAAAGAACCGCACAAGAAACGCTTTAACAGCTAAAGGAGGGCTACTTACATCTTGACCTATTTTTTTTTCAGTGTTCCAGAAGAGCACACATCATTCAGTGAAAGCTGTTCGAAGGGACGATAGGGGGATAATTATCGACTAAAGGCTACTTTGACGCAACGGTGATGGATCAATGAACGTACCGGATATGTTGAAAAGCTTCGTGCCTCGATTTCGATCGCGACCGAAACTGGCAAACCAGTCACCGCCTCTGCGACAAATGGTTGGAGATACGGAAATAGTTTCCACATTATTCACTGTGGTTGGACAGCCAAACAGACCAATATCTGCCGGGAAAGGTGGCTTCAATCGTGGTTTGCCCTGATCAAAAGAAAATTTACATGAATGGAATGAGGTGGAACGCAACCGTTGGGTTAGTTTGAGGAATTAGTCTTCACTTTACTAGATAGACTCATAAAACACGTTAAAGAATTCCAATTCGATTCTAACTAAAACTGTAAATCAGAAAGTTTATAAGATCAACAGATGGAAGCTGACGTTCATGGTGGCCTGTAATAACTTAAGGGTACTTAGTACAGTTCATCTCTGTTGGAACAACTAAAGCGAGTGATTTAAGCGGTTACTACTACGCATCAATGTGATCAAAGGCTTGTGGGATGGACACATCCAGAAAAGGTAGAAATCTCGTGAGCAGTACAGATCGATATAATGACCA